CTTGTTAATTATCCCGTGTTAGTGATATCTGCTTCACTAATAGCAGAAGTTCGCATTCTAGCTTTTCTTTGATTTAGTAATGCTTAGCACAACACAGGAGTCAAGCTGCCTCAGCCTGTTGCTTTGCTGTCTTTTATCGGTGTCACTGTTCTGGAATTGTGAAAAAATGCCTTGTCCCTTCCCACATACTCTGACATTTAAGTAGGCTGTGACTGTTGATTTAAAAAACGAATCTGAGGGGCAGGAATTTCCTGAATGATGATACTGGAAACCAAATCCTGCAACATGAGCAGGAGGAAATTTTCGGTGGGATCATTCAGAGTTTGCCTCTTTCAGAAGCTCATTGTATATTCGGACTCCCAGCTACGTGATCAGGAATATGTGTAACCCAAATATCTGCGGTAACTTTTCAAGGGATCTTGGTTAGTATGTTGGTTATCTGGATGTATTTCTACCAGTATAGAAATTTTCTGAAAATTTACAACCAGCTTTCAGTTTTCTTGGTTTCTTGCTAGATTAAATTAATGAAATACTTTACTGGTCATAAAATCCATGCCCCTGTACTACCTGTCTCTCTCCTCCTTCTTCCTCTGTACTAAACCTGCCTCTGTGTGGAAGATGCTTAACAGAACACTGGAAAGGAAAGGAATGGCTCCTCTCCAGGCAAGCAGTAAAACACAGATACCAAACAACAAAGCAAAACATGAATTGTTTAGCAGAACCCCCTTTATGTGGTTGAAGCTCAGACTTTGGTCATGCTAATGTAAATATACTGAAAATGTAAATGTAATGTAAATTTACCAAACTAAGATGACTAATGCCACAAGATCAGCTTAATTTAGATGAGCAACGGATTTTTGTAATCTTGCACTCATCAAATAGACTTTGTTAGCACCCTGAGGCATGCCGGAATCTTAGCACAGCGTATCCCCCCATTGTGCGTTACCACTTACACCATTTCCCAAAGACTGGGAGTAGCAGTGATCTTTCCCAAAGGCCCTCTTGTTTGAAGCAATGAAAGCTTTTTCCCCCCATGGAAAATTCAATAGCCACAAACCTCACAGCATGTGGAATAACTTCTAGTGATATTATTCTAACACTGAAAGGAAACAAAGAAGGGGCATATATTATTTCATTGGCTACCAGAGAAAAGGTTGTCTTTAAAAATATATATGTCTTTTGCATATGCTTTGTGACAGACATACAGCCTGAAGACTGTCATGTGACAAGGGGAAATCAATAAAAAATACATAATGATATTATAAATATTTATAGAATAGATAGATGAGTATACTATGACAGGGAGAAGCCAAGAAGGCTTTTAGAATAGCAAATGTGTGCTCTAAAATATATTGGAATTCTTCTGAGTGAGTTAAAATGGGGTAAAAAGGCATTGCATAGGCTGCCAGAGATCTTCACAACACCTTTGATTAAAGTCCTTTCTAAGCAACTATGAGAAAAGCTTCATCAAAGAAATGCAGCTAAATAAAAGTTGGAAAGCGGAGAAGGGAAAAAAGTTTTCAGAAAGGATGAGGTTATTCACTGATGGGCCCAGTGGGACTTGTAGGGACTGTTGATTGCAACCTAGGAAAGTAAGGAAATGGTTCTTTGTGTTTCTGGCAGGATTAAAATGATGCAGCTTTATCCAAAGACTAGGAATTTTCCAAGTCAGCTAAAATATTTTTTTTTTAACTGTATTTTTGCATATAACTGGCTGATGATGTATTTGTGCATCTGTTAATACATACATCTGTAAGTTATGCTTGTGAGACTGCAAGGTTTATAAGCAGCAAATGGGAAAACAAGCTGGTAGGATTGGAGATGAACAAATTTGTTTCCCTAAATTAAAGTAAAAATCTCATATAGTCATCCTTCTGTCCTCCTGTCCTGTAAAAATTAGGCTTTACTGCGTGACTAATTCCTCTACAAGGGGACTTATATTGTGGGACTTGGCTTCATTCATTCTCTGTGTTGATGTAAACATCAAGAATAAGCTGGAGGTTTTGTGTGGAGGATTTTTTTTCTGCTTGTGCTGCAGATGGCTGAATTTGCTCAGTCTGCAAAAGATGCAAGAAAAGTACATAATGAAACAGGAAATTATACTAAAAATGGAAGAAACTATGCAAGAGACAAACTTGTTGTTCTGCCTCTAACAAAAGGCCAACAAAAGCTTCTTCAGTGGAGATATCCACATCTGGGGACAGGTTATTTTTGCTGCTGATTTCTTGCTTACAGAATTCTCTTTCCTCTTAGACCAAACAGAGCACAATTTCGTTAATGGTTGGGTCAGGGTGCTAATTATTTTTGTGAAAAATTGATGGACAGACAGTCTGGGAGATAGATGCTTTCTAATTGGTTAAGGGCTTTTAAAGATAAATGGCCTTGAAGTAGATTTGTTTTCAAATGAATACCCAGTAGAGTGCTCAGAGCAGTGGCACCGTGAGCTCTCATCAGTTTTTCTCAGAGTGATGGATGTTGCATATTCTGTCTATTGACATGGTCTTTGCCATCAAAAGTCCCAATTTCTTAATAGTTTGTAGGGCAGTGGTTGTAAATTATTGCAGCCCAATTTTATTACTGTTTCACATCTACCGAGAACTGAGCCCTTTGTGCAGCTTTATATTAACTCAGCAAGCACCATTAAAATATTGACATTTAGGCTCATTTTGATAGCGTTAATCACAGCATTTTATCATGCATTAATTGCAGTGGGTTGAAATGACTGGAACGTTCACTTTTCTAAAAACAGGAGAAACAGTAATTTCCATTTCTCCACTTTTGCAACCCATAACTGTGCTTAAAAAAAAACAACACAAAAACAAAACAAAAAAACCCCAACCAAATGACTGAAAACACATAAACCCCCCTCCTAATTGTGCATGCTGGGGCATCTACCTCTCTGCTTCTTTGCAACAACTGAACAAGTAAGAGCCAGCAGCTCTTACAGGCCCCACTGGAAGCTCTTGGAAGTGTCATCTCAGAAAATCAGCCTCTGAAGTCTCGGTGTGGACACATACAGCCAAGCCTTGGCTTCTTCAAAAACATATCTTAATATATAACAAGAGTCCTTCTGATGTGCAAAAAAAGCTAAAAATCTACTGTGTTTTCATATGCTGATATGGCTTAAGGGTTTAAAACTGATGCAGAAATTACTCTTGTGATTCACCAGCAGGAATAGGCTCACAGCACCCCTGTCTATTTGTATTATCATATCAGTAAAAGAACCTCTGATGTTTGCTGTCTCTCTTCAGTGGAGAGCGACACTAGATGATTATGTTTAATATAAGGAGTTGGCAGCCTTTCTCACTTAACCATCATTAGGAGATCTGCTGCTGAGGTCCCATTTTGTGAGGCAGCTAGAAATTGGCACTTAGTTTGAATGTATTGTTTTCTACCTTTCTCTTAAGGTTCAAGGACAAGGCAAAACTGCTCAGACTATGCAAAGGAAAAAGTTTGTCTCACTTTCCTTTGTTCGCTCGGTCCTCTTATGCCTTCATTCTTTTCTAAGAATTTATTCCCTAAGTAAATTTATTCCCCTGTATATACATGAATTAAAGAGAAGTGTGGACCATGTCATCAAAGACACAAGTGGAAGACATGAGGGAAGGTATTTGAAGGCACCACACAGAAGATAGCTGTGATAAACATGTAGGCTTTTTACTGGAGTAAAAATTATCTAGGTCTTCAGAAGTGTTCCTCTTCATAAAATACTGTTATTTCCATTTTAGAGAACTGAGGCATAGAATGGGTCAGGGGAGAAACCCTAAATCACTTGGAAGGCGAAATGCAGAACAGTGGTGTCTCAGTCTCCTAACCCTCACTTCACGGTCCTAGCCGTGCCTTTCATTCATTAATTTAAAGATTGTCCCCTCCCTGCTCTCACCCCAAGATATTCCTGCACCTTCAGGACTTTCACCACCTGTATTATCCCTGATAGCATCACATGGCTTAAGCTGCAGCTTCACCTGTAGCCATCTGCCTCCTGCTATACCGGATCTGCTCAAAAGCTCAAAAGACTTTCTAGTGATAGAGGTTTTATTTTTTCAATTACAGTGGCTTCACATGACCAAATAATACTTCATTAGCCTGATTGCCTAAGGATATCAAGCTCCAGGGGAAACTTGTATTCCTATATGATTGGCAAGCTAATTAGGAAGTGAAATAATGCAAATCCCACCACAGGCAACCTTCATAAGATTTATGTATTTACTCTTTGAAACCGAAGTATGTCATATCATAAATCCTTTTATTTTAAGGCTTTTATAGTTTTAGGTTTATTATCAACCTTCACAATGGACATATTGCCAGGGCAGGAGGCTTTAGAAGCCCAATCAAGTTGGATCAGTTCAGGTTGTTGGTAAATCCACTGAGATTTTTAGTTTGCAGTATCACCTAGATAACACAGGCTCGAGTTTGCTTTTGCTTTTACTGGCTTTGATTTTAAGCTCATTGGGCATGGCCTTTCATTCTCTATTTGTAAAGTATCTACCAGAGTGGATCTACCAAAATTAGAGCTTCAATGTGATATGAAAACGTAGGCACAGAAGGCACTGATGGCAGCAAGAGTTCTGCATCCACGAGGAGAGTGGAATGCTGGACCTAGATTAGAGACAGCTTCCTACGGAGTCAGCTACAGCCTCACCGGTGAACAGAGGCCAGGGTGAAGCTCCTGTCAGTAAATGGTACATCCAGGAGGCAGCAGCAAGCAGGAGATTAAACAAGAGTACTTGTAAGGATGTAGGGTCCTGTTGAGGATGGCCTTCAGTGAGTAAAAGTCACTTCTAAATTAAACGTTTAGCAAAGCTCTACCAAGAAAATGGTGGCTAATGAAGTTCTAGCAGCTTCTCTGTCTGAAAATGATGAACCCTAAGAAGCAAGGAAACTGGTGGAGTTTCTCTGAGGTGGTTGGGCTAAAATTAATATGGCAAAAGCAAAATTAGAAAAGGGTGAAAAAAAAAAATCAATATTCTTGCTAATAAGAATCAACCTTTATTTTACAGGAAACCTGAAGTTTTGCCTTGTGATTCTGAACCAGCCTTTCAACATAGGCCATTTTCATTGTCTGTGGAGCAAAGGTAATAATAACTTGCTTACATTTTCATTTGTGTATTTACTTCTCTGCTACCCAGCTCATGTACTTCATGTCTGTTGAATTGCAATGTGGCAATTTTCTCTTAACTAGATCAACCTTATGGTGAGGGTGTGAATCGGCAGAATATGTCCCTTGTTGCTGAATGCAGCAAATGAGCTGATTATGCAAATTTTGCATCTCTGCATTGCTTACGTCAGTAGGAACTTTATGGACTGATCTGTGTAAGACTGTAGCTTTTCAGAAGCATCTTAGGAATGATCATTGTTTTGCTGACAAAGTGTGGTAGATCAATGGTGCGTTTAAGAGTCTGGAAGCGAGCATTCCTTTAAAGGTCATCAGTGAAATGTATTAATTTTAATCAAAATAAAATTAACCGTGTAGATATTATGTTGTGAAAGCCATGGGAATTTGCGTGCCTGTTGGAGATATGCAAATCAGATTTCAATACCCCTTTGTTTAATATGCACAGTGCTAATCATCATCTCTGATACGATAGCTGCACATTTACTGACATTTTGTGGAGATATGTAAATCTTTACAAGCTTGGAGCTATTAATTCCCCTGGTTCAGAAATGTAGTCCTTCAGAAGCTTTCTGAGAAATCGCAGGAACTGTTTCTAACTTGTTACTAGGCTGGGAACCTTGCCGAGAGATTCCTGTCAACTGACTGGGGCAGATAGAGCTATTTGACTTCACCGTAGGCATAAGGGCTGGCAGGGGGTGACTGTACAGTTAAAAGCAATAGGAGTAAGGGATGAAGCAGGCAGGATGTATTCATAGCACTTAATTCCAGTAAACCTAAATGAGGTGCCTACGTAGGCAGAGGAGTGAGCAAAGAAGGGAGAGACTTGCACAGGATGATTCAAAGCACCCGAACAAGTACTGTACCCCAAATGGGCTCTTTCACTTGCCGTATCAGCAAGAGGTGGCGGCAAGAAGTGCTCGGCGGGAGGGCTGTCAAGTGTATTTTCTAGATGTGACTCTACATATTCTTTTATTTGAAAAGATACACTGAATGACATACTCTGTATTAAATAATGAAGGGAAGAAGGGTAAGTATTTTGATCTTATTTATTTGTCCCACCTTTCCTGTGTTTTGAGAGCTGAGGTTAAAAAAGAGACAGCAAACCAGATGTGCACAGTTACTGAATGGCAGTATTTAGCATCTTGTAGTACCTTGCATGTGTTGCTTTTATGCTGCGTTCTGTTAATCAGACTTTTCTGGTCTGTCCTTTGGAATTTTAAGTCTTCTTGCAATCAAACCTGTGCGGGGTGACCCTCGGGGCATGGAGTTCTTCTTACTGTAACACTAACAGGCCCTTAACTGTAATGCTTCAGTGAAGGGTTGTGATAAGAAGCTGAATAAAATCCAGCAGACCACAGACTGTCTTGCTTGAGACTACCTCAGTGGTTCCTGTCCTCTGAGCATAACCGTGTTGAAAGCAATCCCTGGTGCTGTGAATAGTTTTTCAAAGAGTCTGTGACTCTTAGGAGCTGAAGTCTGTGTTTTAAGTTAAAATGGCTTTTGCGGGCAGGTAACTTCCAGAAATAGGTGGATATTTTCTACCTAAGTAAAATGACAGAAGAGGGTGGTGACATCATGAACCTGAAATATTTTTCTTCAAAACATCTCAGCTTCAGTAAACTTCAGTGAACCCAGGACAAGGTTTTGGCAATGCTAGTGGACTACTGTAGGTGTCGTCAATCAAAAAAGCCTCCTGGATCCTGCTCCTGAAGGAGTCTCAGCAAAGAGACTGTTGCAGGACTAGGAGAACCTGGGGGTTTTAGTATGTGAACTGGAAGAAGTTCTGAAATAATGAAACATGGTTAGAAACAGTGCTTGTACCATCTGTATATGCATGAGATCTTGTAAAGGAGTGATGAGAAGAAAACAGTGGGGCTGTTGATCCACAGAATATTGCCAGCTACACAAATTGGGGGGGGGGGGAAAGGGTGAGAAAAGCGTAGAAGAAAAAACCCAAAACTTCTCTAAGTTACAGCAGTCTTGGGTGTTATACTGAGTACAGAATGTTGAGACATAAGTGTTATTTTCAAGTAAGTTGTGTCCTATCAAAATAACTTGTTTCATTAGCCCCGTCACTTTAGCGTCAAGTAAAAATGAAGGTGTAATGTACTATGTCCCGAGTTTAAAGAAAAAAAAAAATCACATTGATACGTGTGGCTATTCTAGGCTAAAATCATCCCAGGTGTAACTCCTCTTGGCCTCAAGAAAAAGTTGTTGCAGCTAATTAGCCTTTGTCTTATTACAGACTTGTATGAAATCTATTTTTACTGACATACTTTGGAAGGAATTATTTCAGTCTGTACAAGTTTGCCTAAACTTCCTTCCCTGTGCTTTGTGAAGGACACTGAAATCTGAATTCTTCGCTTACCACTGTTACAATACAAGCTGGATAAGTGACAATAGTGGGATAGTATAAGCCAAAGACTACCATGATTTTAGTCTATAATATTCATTACTGTAGTAAACCGATCTAAAACATGTTCCCTGTGCATTAGGTACAGTCGTACAGTATTAGTGCTGTCTTAAAGGCAGGATGAATGAAATGCTGGAGAAGGGATAATTTGCAAAATCAGGATGAAGACTAATAAGGCAGAAAACACTGGTAGTTCACTGAGGGGTTGGATATAGTGGGGAGGGGAGAAACCAAATGGCAAGAGAATAGGGCAGTAAAGGGGAATAGGTAAGGGGAAAAGGTCTCACAGCGGGTGAAGCTGATACAAGGAGACTGAATGTGCAGAGGTGGGGTGGGTGCAGAGGGTTGAGAATAGACTGTGAGTAAGCACAAGGCTGGTAACATCAGTCAGATCCAGCAAAAGTGCTTTGACCATAGCTGTTAATGCAACCATTTTTACCAGTGTAAGTTGTACAGCTTCTGTTGCAGTCCTTATCCTAATTGTGGAAAATATGTGGAAGAGACAGGGCCCTGCTTTTCTCAGAGCTGCACATTTTTGTGTCCGGAAGGTTCCTCTAAGGAACATTGGATCCAGCGCGGCCTTACCTTAATAACCCTGTCACACATCCTAAATCCTTGCTTGCATTTCAGCAATGTTTCTAGCTCCTGGTTTGAATCCTGCTTAACAAAATATTGGTAGTGAAAAAAATCCAGTTTACATTGGTTTCTAGGGCTACTTTGCGAGTGGTTTCAAATCTAAATATATCTTTAACAGAAATAACTGTGAATTGAAAGACTGAAGCTGTCTCTATGTTAAGTTTGAAAAGTACGGAGGCCCAGGTTTAAGTGGCTGAAAACAGAAGGAGCTTTATGGAGAGTAAATGAAAGTTCCTGAGTTTTTGATTCTGCTCTTCAAAATCTCTTTAATCAGAAATTCAGTGACTTATTTATGCCAAGAATTTCATCAATGCCTAGTGATCACAAGTGCTTCTGATTTTTTGATGTCTCCCTAGTGAAGTATCAGAACAGGGGCAGAATTATTGCAGTGCTAAGAAATGACATCTGTAAAATTGTCTCAAGTTTAGGATCTGACAGTTGTTTCTTGTTTCTGAAAACATTGCTCCTACAAGCTTTACTACTCAAATGATCCATAATGGTCTTCATGTCCTCGCTTGATGGTAGCATGCTAAATGGCTGTGCATTGTAGAGTACTTTCCATTCTTAAACGTTGACAATGAGAGCTGTAAAGAGCAAGAAGCTATGTTCTGAAAAATGAGATTATAATTTAAAGAATCAGAGTAAAATTGCAACATTCAACAGCAATCTGGTGAAGTTCCCATCAGTGCTGTATTTCTGGGAATGGGAGGTTCATTATTAGATAGCATATTTGGATTTGCTTTTGGAGAAAGATGTTACGATAGTGTTTTTCCTTAGGTTATATTTAACCTCTGGCTAGGTGTTCTTATATCCGTGGGATTACTGATAAACACAGTTGCAGAATTAAAATATTGGTTAATGCACTTCTGCTTGGCTGAAGAGGAAGACTATTACATTTGTGCTTTATGGTAAGAAAACATGTCCACAGATATTTTTCAGTTGTTACAGTGGTTGTAATACATTAGCCATTGTGCCTTCCTCAAAAGGATTGTGATCTTTTTTTCCACAAATAAAGACTTTCCGCAAAAGCTTTTAATAAAATGGAATGTGGTAAACTAAATATTAGGTGTTCATACTTACAAAATGACCTTGGTTGATGTACTAGAATAAACTATCAACATACTTTTGGAACGGGCTGACTGAATCCTGGCTTGTGAGATGTGTATTTAATGTTGGACAAGCAGATGGGAAGGAGACATCTATGAGACCGGGCTGCAAAAAAGTCTGTCCTTCAGGAGTACTTCCCTAAATTGTCTCTTCCATGGACTGTTTTTTTCAGTGAAGGAATTTTGGCGTCCTGCTATGTCTCCTTACTATGCTGCCCTACCAGCCACTTTTCTATATGTACAGTATATAGGCATTTTATGACACTTTGTAGGTCATGAACATGGAGGAACTCCAGAAGGAGGAATGTTGCTCACCCTAGAGATTTCAGCTCTATATTTTTGGTGGGGTCTATATACTGAGAAAGCAGGAAACATACTTCTACAGCAGCAGTGTAATAACTCAAATCCAAACTGTGTTAGATTGTCTTCATGTAAACTGTTTTCTTACACTACATCTATTGTGATTGGTTATCCATACATTGAATTTTTTTCAAGTATTCCATCTCTATCAGTACCTATTTTATGACAAGCAAAGTGGCTATTGGATTTTAAATAGTATCTTGGATGTGAGGCAACTTCCCTGTCAAGGTCAGCCTACCGTTTGGTGAAAATGCTGCTAAGGAATGGATTGTTAGCACCTGAAGGTGACTGTGAATTACAAAATATCTCCTCTTCCTGAGTAATCAAGTAAGGAAAGGTGCTAATTTGTATCATGAATTTCAGAGTCATCTATCTTCTAAGGCCTCATGCTCCCATGCATTTTATGTTCCATATGCTTTTGTCTGCAATGTAATTGATATTTTG